CAAATGTATAACTTCTAATCTAATACTACTTTACATTCACTATACAATTTTTCACTCGCTCTTATACACAATAAACACAATGAGCAATAAAAATATGTAAACAACAATTTCACTATCAATCAACAAAAGCAATATGTTATTTATTACCATCACGCTTGTTTACACAATTCAAATCTTACACCGAATCAAATGTACAAAACTTTTGTAAGTCAAATCGATTCTTTTTCTTTTTCTTTTTGAGTTCAATTATACAAATATTTTTCTTCTGGCAATATTCTTCGTTCAGATTTTGTATTTTGCATCGGGCACCATGGAAAAAACTTTAATTATTTTAAAGACACATACCTTTTATTAGGTTGTATTGCTTGGTTAGACTAAAAAGATCCTTTGCCTTTTATAGCTGCCATATTATATTTAGCCAGTGAATTTGTCATAAAACTGAAAATAATATAATTTAATAGTATTACATCTTATAATTTATGAAATTATAATTAACTACTGTATTTAAAATTTTTTTTCTTTTTCTTTTCACAAAATCTAAATGTAATTAAACATTTAGATTTTAATTTAAAGATACAATTTATCTATTAATTAAATTTAATCTATTATTTAAAAATTTGCACTCTAACCATTAATGTAGTCCAGATCATTAGTGTACAATAACCATTAGTGTAGTCAAATATATGAATATTATATGAGTTAAAAGAATTATCTGGACTAAAGTTTAAAGCTATAGGATAACCTATAGCTTTAAACTTGCAAACTAGAAAAAGTGTAAATTGGCATTAGTGCGCCAAACAGCTTTGCAAACATTACTAATAGACATAAGTGCAAAATTTGATTAAGTACAAAACAGTTACAAAAACTGGCAGAAGTGCAAACTGACAAAAGTGCGTGTGATAAATTTGCAAACATGGACCTAAGTGCTAATTGACATTTCGCCCTTATGCTAGTTTGCAGTTATGCCAGTTTGCAATTATGGCAAATTTTGCATATTTATTTGGCACACTTATGCCAATTTACACATATGCTCGTTTGCACTTATAGCAGTTTGCACTTATACCTATGTTTGGAATTCTTTTTGCGCAGTTATGCCCGTTTGCATATATGCAACTTGGCATTATCCCATTATTGTAAAACGGCTAATGTAGAGCCATGCATGGGATTTGTATTATGGATTGTAAGATGGGAGTAATATCTTTATAAAATTAAACAGAGTATTTATAGGAATGCACTTTTAATTTACTAACCTCTTCATCATAGCTATTACAAGTTTTTGATAGTTCTTACCACCAATATTTTGAACTCTTTGTTTCTAATAGAAAGAAATAATGGAAATCTGACAATTCCTCATTAAGTAGTAAAAATTATATATTGTAAAGAAAATTAAAAAAAAAAGAAAAATCTGTCAAATCAGTATTTAGCAATTTACAACTGCAGAGATACTACAGAGTTAATAAATGAAACATTGTCAAGTGCTAAGTCAAACTTATCAAATTATATTTTGTTGTTCATTTCAGTTACTACTTCTTGTTCACACTATTTTATATAAAGTTTTTTGCATCTTTGGGATTTTATCTCATTTAAGAGAAGCAACACACAATATTGAAAGTCTGAACAAATTTACAATAATTAAATTTTACATAGTTTTAACTAAACTAAGTGAATAAATAAATTTAAAATGCATAAATTAAACAATTTAACAACTTTACTAGTCTAACCCTAAATCAGAGAAAAACTAATAGACAGTAAAAAACCTAATAGTGGCATTGCTATATTATATATATTAGCGTTTTTCTCTGATTTTGGGTTAGACAAGAAAGATTGCTCCATAGATTTATAGTTTTGATAATATTGAAATAATGGATTTCATAAAGGGGATTATTTAAATTTAAATTGGAACCTCATCATTTCAATGATGTTTTTTAATATTGACAGTCATGTTAGCGTTTTACAACAAACATTACAACATTATTTTTAACTAAAGACTTACTTGCTTGAGAAAATGGAAATCCATCATGTTTATCCTTGTTATTTAAAGATGATGAAGATTGATGTGTCTTAAAATGAATCTATTGGTCATCACAATCAATATCATCTTTGTTTATTATTTTTTGACCTACAGAACACAAACATAGAGAATATTTGAATTTCTTTTAGCAACATGTCTTCTCATGTAGCAATTTTATAAACAAAAATCTTTTACAAATTACTTTACAGATTAATAACTTTATAAGTAAAATAGGGTATATAGTATGGTATATAATATTATAGGTTTCATACTGCTAAATATTTGGTAATAACACTAGAATATCATTAAAGAATAAAAATCTTAAAATGACATTTTGAAGTAAGTCACTCCCTTTCATAAAACAAATCATCATATTTTTTCCTTTCATTTTTTTTATCTATAGTAATTCCTCTATAAAAAACCACTGATATTATCATTTTTAATTTTTATAGTTAAGGAAGAAAAACTCTGAGAATGTTGCTCTTTTTTCTCAAATCCAAAGAATTTTTTTGCATTAAAAGCAGTTGATAATTAAGTAGAATTAAAAACTTAATCTAGTTTTTATAAGCAATCAAGTTTACTCAATGATTATGTTATTTAATAGAGTAAAATAATCTAGTTAACCACACCATAAAAACTTTATTAATCATAACTACTTGATTCAAGTAGAAATACAAACACAACCTAGTTTCAACGAAGGCATACAACTATAAACTAAAAATACTCTAATATATTTTGAAATTTAATTCTACAAGAAAACAATACAAACACTATGTTGATTTAAAGATATATTAATTTATATAACTTTTACTTAAATAAATCAATTCGCCTAATCGAAAGTCACGCCATTTACTTGCCTAAACATACTTTTTATTTTATATATTGCCGTGCTGTACCCCAGTAAGCACAGGACGTTTTTAAAACGTTTTAAAAACTTAAAAAAACAAATATTAACGTTTTTTAAACGTTTTAAAAACGATCTGTGCCTACTGGGACGCCTAAAAAAAGTTTTTTATCACGTTAAAAACACGTTTTAAAAACGTTCATAAGGTAACTGAAAAATTTTGTTAGTTAATAAAAAAAACTAAACGTTTAAAAAACGCTATAAAAAACGTTTAAATTAACATTAAAAAAAGCGTTTGCAAAAAAACGTTTAGAACACGATTGTATTGGTTCTTTTTACGTCCGACCGTAAGTTGAACGGAATCAAAACGTTTTAAAAACGTCCTGTGCTTACTTGGTTAGCAATTTTCAACTGCAGAGTTACTACGGAGTTACCCAGTAAGCACATGAACGTTTTTAAAACGTTTTTTTAACTAAGAAAAAAAAACGTTTTTTAAACGTTCTGAATGGCAATACCTAAAAAACGTTTTAAAAAAGTTGTTTAAAAAACGTTCTAAATAAAACGTTTAAAAAACGTTTTCAATTAACCAAAATTAAAACATTAAAAAACGTATTTTAAATCTAAAAAAGACGTTATTTTTTAAAAATAATCCCAAACTAAATAAATACAAAATAGGTACTATTATTAAATTGTTTTTAAAAGAACAAGTTGGTTAAAAAACCAAGAAAAATAAAAAATTTATTTAAAAGTTATTTTTAAATTTATTTTTTAAAACAATTTACAAACAAAGTAATATTATAAAGATGATATTTGTTGGATTTTAGGCACTTTAAGACAAGCAAAAGTTGCCCGTTTTCACAAATCAGTAATTATTGCATCAAAAATCGACTCTGTGTATGTTTCGTGAGAAGTCGATGCACAAACTAAAAGAAAAAAAAATATATTTAAAACAGACAATCTGAACAGTAATAATAGTATTATAGTATAATAATAATATATAGTAGAATAATAATAGTAATAAGTTTTTAAATTACAAATAAATGTTTTAAAAATATATATATAACTTCACATTGCATATATTTATGTATATATATATATAAATATATATATATATATATATATATATATATATATATATATATATATATATATATATATATATATATATATATATATATATATATATATATATATATATATATATATATATATATATATGTATATATATATATATATATATATATATATATATATATATATATATATATATATATATATATATATATATATATATATATATATATATATGTATATATATATATATATATATATATATATATATATATATATATAAATATATATACATATATATATATATATATATATATATACATATATATATATATTATATATATATATATATATATATATATATATATATATATATATATATATATATATATATATATATATATATATATATATATATATATATATATACCCAGCAAACATGTCAGCGTTGAATCAACGTTGAAAACCCGTCGCAAAAGATGTTGCGGAAACGTTGACAAAGTAATCGATTTTGCAAAGATATGTAGAGTTGTAAATGAGTCGTTGATTAAACGTTGTAGCGTAACGTTGAAAAAACGTTACTAATAGACGTTATAAAAATGTCGCAACTAAACGTTGAAAAAGCGTTACTCAAAAAGCAATGCATAAGCGTCGCAATTTAACGTTGAAAAAACGTTACTTGAAAAGCGTTACTGTAGCCTTGTTAAAGTAGTCGATTTTGCAAGGATTTTTAATGTTGGCAGTAAATCGTCGATTTTACGTGACTCAAAGACGTCGAATAAAGGTTGAAATATAAAGTTGAATCAACGCTTAAATGCGCTGGAGAAAACATCGCAAAATGTTATTAAATGTAATTAAACTATGCTATGATATATATTGAATTGTCAAATAAAACTAAATTGTATGTTGAGCTCTGTACTTGTAATATTTCTAAAATCGATTTTTAATACAAACAGTAATATGCAATAAAAAATTTAAAAATTTATTAATATAAAATATAAAATTTATAGATATATAGATAAAAAATTTAAACAATTTTCAAAAGATTTATGTGTGTAAGTGTATTACCAAGATATCAATTTGATAGGTCAGGATATTATTGAGATACAGAATCTATATCAAAAAATAAAACATGTATCATTAGCAGTATGATAGCAAATATTTAAAACAATGTTCTTGAATTAGAATGATCATGCTTAAATTCAAAACGTAAAAATAAATATATATATACATATAAATAATTAATATATATATATATATATATATATATATATATATATATATATATATATATATATATATATATATATATATATATATATATATATATATATATATATATATATATATATATATATATATATATATATATATATATATATATATTGTTCTACGTAATAGCATAAATAAGTAACAATTTCTAAAAATAATACAATGTCTTTTATTCTTGAAATGTTTTGTAGTAAACGACCAGGGTTGATATTTGACCGGGGCCAGGTTTGATAAAAATTAGTCAAGGCCGGGTTTGGAACCAGTGCTGCATAAACATTTATGCATCTTAAAGTACATTGTTTTAAATTTAAATTTCATTTTATATTTTGTATATATATGCATATACATATACATGATCATCATAATCATCTTCATCATCAACAGCATAAAATCAAAAAGCTTGACGATGATAAGGAAAATTATGATGATGATGATCATCATCATCATAATTATGATCATGATCATCATCACCATTACGCTTTAGCCTTACTCTTTTAAGTTGTTTTCCTAATATAAACAATCTAGTACACTTTTATTCCTAACTAAAGCTCATTTATACAATATGTAAGGTAAACTCTTAAACTTTTCTTACTTCTATACATTTTATACTGAAGTTGCTACCACTCTACATGTTGATACCTAAATTACTTTACCCTTTTCTAAAAAAAATTATGCCTTCTTTTTATGTCTTGTTAGAGTCACACCACACATCCATCTGATCATCTTCCCTTTTGGCAAATACTACACCATATAAATACTCAAGTTTATATAGCAATGGAAGGATATTATATGCCAGCATCTAAAAAAATAGAAAACATAAGATTATATCCGTAATGTGTGTGCAAAAAGTGCATCTTGGAGACTTATATTGCTTCTGGAATAAAAATTTGGAAGCTTTTATTACTTTTCTTCAGTTTTAAGTCGAGCCACATTCTACTCTACATCTTTCAACATGAATCACTTTTTTCATCTTTTTTATTAAGAACATCTCTCTTAAGAACAAATTATCCTTTTTATTATTACAATAAGCAAATGTATAAATAATGTCTTGTCTGATGTAAATCTCTGTTATTCTCAATTTACTAAACCTTGTATCTTTTCTTAATTGTTAGGTTCAAGAGACTTTGGTTAGTTTTCAACAGTGCCATTAACTCAAGTAAGCCTAACGCTTATTCTCTAAATCAAGGGTCTGATCATTTTACTTTACCCCAGAGTAAAGCAGAGCTATTTACAGAGAAATCTTACTATCATTTTCTCTCGAATGTAATGGACATACTCTTCCTGACAGTTAAACAGAATAATCCATTGTTAAGCATCTTAATTACTCTGGCTTCCAATACTAAAATTAATTCTCAATCAAACACTTCAACCATTTGTGCTTCAGACAAGATTTCCATCATAGTCTTAAAAAAGTGTTCTTCAGAACTCTCAACAATTTTTGCTAAACTTTTAAAAAGTGCTAAATACATGGTTCAAATTTTTCAAAACTCTAGAAAACACCTTGACCTCTCCAAGTATCCTACAACTACTCTTCACTCTGTTATCAGTTTCTTCTAATTTTCTATGTAAAAGTTTTGAGGTTGTTAAATTATTTCTTTCTAACTGCAGTAGTAAAGCTATTCTTGAAGGCCTGCCCTCTTCTTTATTTCAAGTAACTTTAAGAGAACCACAAGGTTCTATATTTGCTCCTGTAACATTTTTTATCTACAATAACAACCATAACGAAATCAAAGTGAATAAATTTGCTGATGAATCCACTTTACACTCTGGTCTTGATAAAAAATCATCTTTAATTGCTTAGAACAAGCAGCCAACTTTAAATCTGACCTCCCTTCTGTATCAGCCTAAGGCTTGCTGTGGCTTATGGATTTAAATTCTGGACTTAAAATCCACAATTTTTGTTAGACAACAAAACTCATTTATCAACTGCAAAAAAATATTACAATATTGATGGCATTCCTATATTGACAAATAACAACCCTCTTACTCTCAGACAAAGTCTAAAATCACATTGTAAATGTAATAAGACCAGCTTTATCTGCCAAGGTTGAGCCACTCTCCCATTGTTATAAGGTTGCATTTCTTTCTTTTTTTCTACAAATACAATCATAGTCAATGCTCAAACAAACTCTCATCTCTATAACGATAAACCAAAACTCATTCTCAATTGGCCATTTATTCAACAAGTTGCATCCTTTAACTGCATTTGTTCCTTCATGCTATAAAATCTTTTTAGAGCAAGATAAATAATTCAATTTTTTTCCCTGAACATCAACAAAATCTTATAACTGTTACAAAACTTCATATTTTCCTTTTTTATACAACTTACACATTTTATGTTTTCAGTTACAGGTTTCTTAGTATTTTAACTGGTTTTTTATTTGAAAGTAACTCATTGCTTAATAGTGGTTGCTTGCAATCTTGTTGGAAGTAAATTAGATTTTAAAATATATAAATATATGCCAGTATGTATTAAATAGTAAATGCAAGCATATAATAATAATATATTAAGTATTATAAAATATTTTCTAACCCCGGCTATCAACCCATGCTAAGTCTTATAATTTTGGCGGGGCCGGGTTTGCAAAAAGTGTCATTTTGAGCTGGGGCCAAGGCCCTAATGTTTTGTAAAATTTATTTACATTTTCAGAAGATTATTTTACAATTATAAAACTATGAAAAAATGTCTGCCAAACATCTGGAGGTCTCTCCAGACATTTGGCAACTAGAATAAATGAGCACCTTAAAAGTGATAAACAATCTCATATATTTAAACACTTAAGTTTATCTATTAATTTCAGAAACCTGGCTAACTGTGATTCTTTTGAGATTTTGGATAATGCCCCAACAAAACACGAATTAAAAATAAAAGAAGTCCTCCACATTATGCTATAAACTTAACTATTTAATTTTACTGTCAGTTTATTATTATTTATATATTTTTCTTTTTTTTTGATTTAGTTACTTTGTTAAAAATATTTGGTTCATAATTTAAATTTTTGTTTGTTATTATTTTTCTGTAAAGACTTCTATTTTTTAATTTTAATTTATTTCAGAGTTTTATTATTGTAAAATAATCTTTTGAAAATGAAAATAAATTTTATGAAACATGTCGAGAATAAATATATATTTATATAACCTGCAGTTATTGGAAACAATCTTTTTCTCCCCTTGACGATAAACAAAACATATTTAAAGAAAAAAAAAAAAGAAATATGGACCATTTTTTCAATAAATTGTAAAGCATTTATTGTTTTACAAGGAAAAAACTAAAAAAACATCTCATTCCAACTGTCTTTTTTTTTTTACTTTCTACTTGTATTAAAATTTGAAAGTAACTTGAAATAGGTCACTTTAAAGATTATTTTCAGTTATTCGAACTAAATTCTTTTACCCTTTGGAAGTTCGAATAACCGGGAGATAACTGTATATGTGTGTGTGTGTGTGTTTGTGTGTGTGTGTGTATATATATATATATATATATATATATATATATATATATATATATATATATATATATATATATATATAATATATATATATATATATATATATATATATATATATATATATATGTATATATATATATATATGTATATATATATATATATATATATATATATATACATATATATATATATATATATATATATATATATATATATATATATATATATATATATATATATATATATACATATATATATATATATATATATATATATATATATATATATATATATATATATATATATATATATACATACATTATATATATATATATATATATATATATATATATATATATATATATATATATATATATATATGTATATATATATATATATATATATATATATATATATATATATATATATATATATATATATATATATATATATATACAATATATATATATATATACATATATATACATACATTAATTACCTAAACAAAACTTTTTTTAATAGGTGTAACTTTAAATTATAAATTTAAATTATATTATGTACTTTGTTCATAAGATCGAAACCAGTTAAAACCATATTATTCCTCGATCCTTATCCACCAAAACTTTACTAAATAAAATTACACTGGTAATCAAATTACCACAAATCAAATAATTTAGAAAGTAATATTAAAATCAGCTTTGACCAATAGTTAATATTAGGTGTTATTTTATTCTTTACCATCTAAAAAACAAAGAAAAGTTAAATCAAAAGAGAAACAAAAGTATTCACAAACATAATTACTTACATTCTTTGGAGTACTCTGTAGTTGGGAAATTAAATCCTTCACATACTTCTTTACCTATAAGTAATTATTTAGTAAAATAAATATAAACAAAAATATGTAAAAACGAAAATATATAATAAGTGTAAATAGATTACAGTATATATCTAGGCAATAACAATACCATAAACAGATTTAAAATATTATTTATTCGAAAAAAAAAAAATAGTTTTTTTGGTATAGTACTTCATTGTTAATAGAAAACTGTAAAAGTTTTTTTAATCATATAAAACAATTAAAATAGCAACGAGTATTGTAAAATGTAATGACCTCCAGTTACTTTAACTCTTTTAAGTCTGAGCTTGTTGCAGGAATCATCGATTGGAAAATGATTATAGGCAGTTTTCATTGCATGAACACCAGTTGAACAAAATAAACAACCATCTTTCACCTAACAAGATGAAATAAATGCCTTTGCTTCAACCCTGTTAAAAAAAAAAAAAAAAAAAAAAGTGCCTGTTTAGATAATAGATTATCTAAACAGGCAGCATTTACATATATATATATATATATATGTATATATATATATATATATATATATATATATATATATATATATATATATATATATATATATATACATGTATATATATAGCGAAAGACAGAAGCATCTAAATAATTGATATGTATATATGTATATACTATATACATATACATATATATATATATATATATATATATATATATATATATATATATATATATATATATATATATATATATATATATATATATATAATATATAATATATATATATACATGTATATATATAGCGAAAGACAGAAACATCTAAATAATCGATATGTATATATGTATATACTATATACATATACATATATATATATATATATATATATATATATATATATATATATATATATATATATATATATATATAATATATATATATATATATATATATATCAGGCTTTCCCAGGAAAGGCGTGCGGTCGCACGCCTTGTTTGTCCACGCATAGAATAAATTTTTCAGAAAATGTGACCGCGGCAATATTTCGTAAGAAAGCGGAAATTATCCACAGAGAATAAAAAATAATATTAAAAAATGAAACGAAGTCTAAACAAAGTATAAAATTGAAATTGGATGTAAGAAAAATATTTTGATAATAAAAAAAAATTAAAAAAAAAAAAATTCTTGTAACAAAAAAAAAAAAGTCTTGAACAATTTTTTTAAAATTTTTATACTGCTGTTTTCTTTTATTAGGGTTGCTATTTTCAGCTACGAAATTTGATACAAGTCAAGGAAAAGACGACGATAAGTCATAAAGTTTTCACGAAAATAAAAAGACTTGATACGTAATTTATTCACAAACTTTATCAGACAATGTATTAAAAAACTTATTCATTATTTACGCTAGACAAATTTGGTGAAACTTTTTCATTTAATTTAGTTTTTACGAAGGTTTATGCAAAGGCAATGACTTTATTCCCCAATACATAGACAAGAAAATAAATTGCTGTTTTAATTATTAAATATATTATTTAAGATTTTAAAGATAACAAAATTTTAATGTGAAAAAAGTTCTTTCTCAACTTATTCTAAACTGATTATACTGAGTCAATGCTCGCCTTTTATTACGTTGAAGTTATTCAATTGCATAATTTTGTAATTACGAAAGAAGTTAAAAAAATAGTTGCATTGCTTCTGTTGTCATTGTTACGAAAACAATTCCTTCGGGACATTATTATATATTAACACTCGTTCACAATGTCAATTAATGATTGCAAAATAAGCAACTCAATCGTTTGACAATAAAATTTTCTTTCAATAAAAAAAAAAAACAACATATTTTACTAATAAATAGCAATTGTTTTTAAGTTTTCTTGCGTATCAATACATTCAAACATTAAAATCAATACATTTAAGCATTTAAAAATATTTACGAAACATTTAAAAATTGTTTATAGTTCTATCGTGAATATTAAAGTATTACTGACTGATGAAAGTCATAAACAAATTTTACATTAAAAGGTCCTTTTTATTTTCTTTAAACATTATTCTTTTTCTTTTTGATTTGATTTTTCTTATTGATTTGATTTTTCATAGCTTAAAAAACTACCACCCGAAAAAAATAAATAAATAAAATAAAGGTAAATTTTTTTTTAATAATATACATTAATTTTTTAATTTTAAAGCACAAACACATTTCTGTTATTTACTTCAAGATTGCTTGCATTTTGC